GAAGCCTTCAGCTACCGCTGCTTCGAACAGTGTCGCTAGACGGCACCAGCACTTGCCGGCTTCCCTTTTGAATCCTAGTTTGGCACAGCGCCCCAGCCCAGCCTCGAGGTCCAGCCACCTGCACGCAGAAGGGCGACAACGTCTATCAGAGCGGCCCGGCCCGACCCGTCAGAGCTCGGGGCTCCCCGGCTTTTCCGGTTTCGAGGCCTCACATGCTTCGTCTGGCCAGCGGCTGGTGTGCTTCGGATTTTGCCGCAGGATGGAGTTTCAGCAGGTCAGGGTGCCTGCCCGCATAAACGAAAGCTGCTCACAGATCTCCCTCCCTTCCCCCCCCGCAATCCGCAGAAAGCCCTGTCTGAACCTGCACCCGTGTGCTTCTCCTCAGCTGGACGACATGTTCCCTGCTGCGGCGGCCTCGAGGATTGCTCCGGAGATGCGCGGTCCGTTTAGCAAAGCTCTCCAAGCTCCAGTTTTTTCGCGCATGGTTTTTCATTGTAGTTTGTTTGCTTCTTTTCATGTCCCCCCTTGCGGTCGGGGACCCGCTGAGGACTGGAACATGCCGCTCGGCTGCAGCTTTGGAAGCTTTGGGCAAAGGAGGAATGAAAGGTCTCCGTCATGCCTAGCTGGTTTCATTGCAGGACTACACGGCGGGCGGCATGTTGTTTATAGCCATGAGACTTCGTGACTCAGTGCTTTGCCTGCCCCTTGCGTCTCTCAGGGATGGCCAGTGGTCACACAGGCCTGGTGCGACGGTTTGCGGCTGGCAGATTTTCATGTGTTTCACTCTCCGAGAAGCCCCGGAAAGGCACCAACGAAGGCCCTAAGTGGGCAAAAGCCAGGTGCTTCAACAAGTGCTGGATGGGGGAGTACCATCCCCACTTCGACACCACCCCGGACTATTTGGACATTGCGGCCAGTGCGAGGGGCGTCCGAGGCACGGCTTCGTGTCTCAGAGATTTTGAGCTTGTGGCTGTCTGGACAAGTTTGTGTTCTCTGCTGCTTCCGCAAGTAGTGGGGATTCCGGGGATTCCGGTGCCGGATACCTCTGCCGTGCCGCGGCCTCCACGATCCATTCAGTCAGGATTGAGGGCGATTCTTGGGCAGGCTGTTGGCTGTTGAAGCTATTGTGGACAGCCCCAGCTCTACCTCTTTCAGGGTAGGCACAGCGCGCATGTGACGGTTGGCAGTGCCTTGCGTGTGATGTGGAGGCAACGACGGGGATCTCTCCGACAACTACTATCTGGTCATCGGCGACAATGGGGGCTGCGCCGGCGGCTGCGATGGCTGCTGTGGCTGGCAGCTCCTCGGCTCTGACTTCGGAGGAAGGAGGAGGCCTTTCTCCAGCGCCTTTTCTGGGTTTCCTCTGCTTCTGCAGGTGGCAGGTGGCCAACCAAATGAAGGAGTACGTGCGGAACCGGAAGGCGGCCAACCCCAGGCCGGAGGGGGCCCAGGGCACCTGCAGTCGGGCAGTAGTCGTCGTAGTACTACGGGGAGGAGGAGGAGGAGGTAGTAGGTAGTATGTAGTGAGTAGTCAGCAGGAGCAGGACTAGCCGTGGCGGTCGTGATAGTGATTGAGCCAACTACAGCACGAAAGTCTCCTGCAGTATGAGGAGGCGGAATAGGAGGCGCAAGAGGAACCATGGGATGTAGACGGACTGACTTGCAGAGCAGCCTGATTGAAAAGAGCTTGAAAGAGGTCCACGCTCCTCTTCATCCTGCTAGTGGGCGACAACTTCTATTGGCACCTGTGCTGCACATGCAACTTGGGAAGAAAGGACTCAAGGAGCTGTCAAGCGTCAACAAGAACATCCAGAGACAGAGCATAGATTCTCCCGGAAACGGAGATCCGCGAGTGTACACGGGCTCTCTGTCGCTATTGGGGAGTTCTTACGGATCAGCAGAATCTTCAAGGAAGGTTCTGATCCGGCTTTTTCCTGAAAAGTTTCGGGTTCCTCCGCCCCTCCTCCGCCCCCTTCTCCGCTCTCTTCCGCCTCTCTTTTCCTCCTTCCTCCTCCGCCGTTTCCTCCGAGGACCGGGGCGAGCCCGGGCCGCTTCGATGCCACGCGCGGGGCCCCGGCTGAGGGAGGGCCCAGAGGGTCTGGCCCTGGCTGGTTTGGCGTTTTTTTTTTTTTTTGGTGTGTGCTTGCTGTTCTCTCGCCAAG